CTAATGAACATCAAGCTAAAGAGTGATATCGGAAGTGGTATGGAAAAAACCATCCTATTTTGTCCACTGTTCTAATGTACTCACTTGTAGCCCTTCACGTGTAGACAGGTCTGCACCGTGACCATGTTCTGCACTTACCTAGACAACCAGTTTTTTCATGTCGGAAGAAGGCCAGACCACCACGACGGATAAAACATAAGAATGTTGCGTTAGTTTGCAGGATTTAATGGTGAACCTCGGAGGTTGTATGAACGTTTAAATCGGGACGTCCAATCTGCTATTCAGTTTAGATGAGACCAGATTGTGGAACTTCGGGGCTTTGGCTGGATTCGAACTAGCGACGGAAACAGCATGCCTACATGCGGTAAGCGCTCTACCAGCTGAGCTACGAAGCCACGCGAGGATCTCGGAACTTTCACATTTTGACTCGGTTACCCACCCATCCCACTGTTTCATATGGAATCCACCAAAGGCCCCAAGAAATCAACTGCCCAGACAAGATTTCTCGAACAGTTAACGCTGGAATCCACCAACGCCACTGTTGAGCATTGACGCTGTATTACTAGTGAGTAGTTTGGCTGGTTTGAAGGTTTAAGTGAGACCCAGTTGTGAAAGTCAATGCCTCGGCTAGACTCGAACCAGCGACAGAAACAGTTATTCAGTTGTCGTAACCATGGTCACCAGAATCAATGGGTTGTACGGATTAAAAGATCTCCTTGTTGGAATGAAAATTCCCCAAGCGCTCTCAGCTAAAAAGATAGTGGTATCTTCTCACGACGTGAAAGGGACAGTAGAAGCTGTTGAAAATGTCAGCACAAGAGTACTTTGTTTACCAGTCCCCTGCAAAATAGGATCACTAGTGGGTTCAAATTCGGATCGCGCGCAAATTACGTTTGCATACAGTTGCTTGTGTTTGAGGTGCCATACCCTAGGTTACGCACTTTCATTGCATGTATTCCATTCCCGAGTGAAAGCTAATGCAAACCAGCGACAGAAACAGTTATTCAGTTGTCGTACCCATGGTCACCAGAATCAATGGGTTGTACGGATTAAAAGATCTCCTTGTTGGAATGAAAATTCCCCAAGCGCTCTCAGCTAAAAAGATAGTGGTATCTTCTCACGACGTGAAAGGGACAGTAGAAGCTGTTGAAAATGTCAGCACAAGAGTACTTTGTTTACCAGTCCTCCTGCAAAATAGGATCACGAGTAGGTTCAAATTCGGATCGCGCAAATTACGTTTGCATACAGTTGCTTGCTGTATGAGGTGCGCATACCCTAGGTTTACGCACTTTGATTGTCATGTATTTCATTTCCCCCGAGTGAAAGCTAATGCAGTTTATACTGTTTTGTCTGCCTGAATATTGTTTTGACTATACCCTTCGAATGTTCAAAAATATTCCGAACCCTTAGGGTGAGAATTCGTAAGTTTGGAACAATTTGTTAACCGTAGGCAAAAACGCTTTGTTTGTCTTTTCACTTCAGTTACAGCGGCTTTGTTAGAAATAGATAAATAAATGGTTTGTTTTTCCAGCACCCTTCTTTAAACCAAGACCCACTGTTAACGTAGCGCAACTGTTCATTCAGAAAGGTGATCTTCTGCAGTTCTCCGAATAAAACCCTCGCGTTCAGGGAACAGATTAAGGGAAGCGTGCGGTTGCACATTAGGTACTGTTTTTGAAGGAATATACCTCCCCTGACCATACAAGACGCTTTTTTAGAATTGGAATGGATCTGGGCCCTCTGGGAAGAAGCGGTACGGCAATTTTGTCTGAATAAACTCAGCTTTCTGGAGTGCTTAACAGAAAGCTAATCACTTTACTGCGTAAGACCATTTGCGTTGGGGACGCGATCAATGATTACCTCTAGTCACTATGAGTGAAACATTCACAATCATGCAGGCTCAACCAAAGAACACATCATAACCTTGAGAAAATATAAATATTCTTTCTCTCATTGATAAATTTAATCTAGTTCAAATGAGCCATGTCTTTATTGTTTGTTAGTGACTAGTGTTGGTCGCTATCAGTTCTGGCGTGTACTAGTAAGCAAAGAGGATGTTCAACGTTCGTAGCAAATTGGAAAGGTTTCGTCGCCAAAGGTTGTTTAACTGAGTCCGTAATTATCGTGTACAAAGCAAGCAGTTTTTCATTGAATCACTTCGTTTATCGGTGAAATTTACTTATGTCATTGCAGAATTTCTCTTTACTCTCATCGTTGAAGCAATATTCGTTGGTCAAAACTGCATGAGGAATTTTTGACGGTAAATAATAGCACAACTGGCTAGCAACTGCAAGAAACTCCAGGCTAATTTGAAGGCTGTTCATTGTTGGATATATGCAGTTGTGAAGAGACTGGATTATGGTAGCATTGAATGTTGATGAACATTCGAGTTCCGTTGATTGATGTCAACATATAGCAGTAGACCTAGATGTCAATTTTTGCAGCAAAAGGGAGAGTTGGTAGTTTGTGCTTATACAACAGAAATCATTATAGATGCCTCAAAAATTATTTCTTTCGAATTAGAATGAAGCTATTTGGAATATGAGACTCACAAGCACCATTTTCCATTGTTGAACAAGGAAAGTGAGCGGCGATTTTACAGTGAAATACAAGCATCATTCTTGTGTTCAACGAAATCATTATACACACTATACACCCTTCACAAATCAAAAGCCATTACGAAACTGTAGTCATTAGATATCAGGATAATGTAAACTCCGAAGACAAATTCAAGAACACGGTTGGCCGACTTCGTCTTGTGATGGCGTATAACCCACTGATGAGTAATTCTTAGAAAGAAGTCTACCTTGATTTTCATCTACGGACAGATTACATCTTTACATGTAGTGGTTTGGACTCGTAAAATTTAACTTAGACTGACTGGGCTCGCTTTTATCTTTAGCTTTGGACAATTGGAATGGGTTACCTCAGAAAAATGTACTGAATTTAAAGTTAAGTTATTTACACTTGTTACTACCAGGCGCTGGGTTATTGAGGCCTTTAGAACGCTTTAAGTCAGAGCGTGGGAAATAAGCCAGGTTTGGCGTGACTAATTTTGAACTGCCAACTGAACACACTAACCGCTTAACGTTAGTTTCAATGATCCAGATGAAGTGGATTTACACAATGGACAGGAGACTTTAGATACATTCACTCCGGAAGGGTCTTAAAAGTATCGACAATATATTGAAGATTTGGTTTTAGAACCTGCGAGCTTGTATTCGTTAACCGGAAGAGTATTTCACATTTCTTACCAACCAACATTATTCCACTTTTGAAGTATAATGCTTGTTACATCAGTTATATACCTCGTTCAAATTTGGTATGGTGACAGTTAGTGTAATCTAATACGAATATGTTTTGTCTGAAAATTTATTAGGTTTTTATAATTATTTACTTCTATTTGTTCTACTTGGTTACTGCATATTTGCTATGCAATCTTTATTATAAGCTGCAAGCGTAGGCCACCAGACAGCATACGTTATCTCAGAGGGTCAGTGGAGCTTGAGACAATAAAGATAGTCTTGATGAGACTCCAGTCATGACTAATCTGCCGGTTTTTGCAAACTCGCTTCTCAAACTGTACGTGCTCTTCTTGACTGAGATTTAACCATTTTCAGTTAAGGAAAACACATGCGTTCAGAGAACAGTATTTCCTGCTAGAGGAGCATTGTTTATTGGGACTCTAATTCAGAGAATGCTTGTACACCACACGCTGTCAACTGCGTAATGATGCGAATGATGTAAGATGCTAAAGAACAACAGAGAATTTCAAAATTACGGAAGATTTCAAAGATTAGTAGAAAAGGGCCCCAAGAATTGCAAAGCAGATGGACATTAATCGAACGTCGTTACTAACATTTTGGTAGCAATTCTTCACTGTATGTCAGCCGCTTATACCTTTGCGCCATCAATATTAGTGTGACTGTCCGTCTCTCCTAATATGCAGGTTTCGGGTTCTGTGGGGTGAGTTTTCATGTGCCTCACTATGCCAACCTATGCGCAAAGTTGACTTGCCTGATTGTCTGGGTGAGTTGGCTGTGCTCACTGCTATTCTCACCTAATTGTCTAGCACATCGGTACTGTCCAAGCGGTTTTTTGACTTATCTGATCATATTCAGTATCTCTTCCAGACTGGACAATTGATCCTTTTGCCACACAAGCTCGTTTTTGGTTAGAACGGGCACAACTTAGTGATGCCTGTGTGCCAGCCTCTTGTTAAAGTTATCGGTTAGAAAGCACTTCGTAACAAGTGTAGACATAATAGTTTCATAAGATAAAACAGAAGTGCTTCCTATTTGGAACAGTTTTCTTACACTATCAGCCAACAGATACAATGCTATCCACCGGTTGAATTGGGCTAAATCTTGCTAAAACCAACCGAATACTTCAAATTTCATGGTGAAAGATCCGCTTAACGTGGAGAAAGGCTCGATTAACGTGATCGAAAATGTCAGACTCATGAGCTATTGTCAACAATCCTACTGAAGACGTTCCAAAACCATCAAGCTGTGATACCGGTAGACAAATTAGTTGTGTTAGACTGGCTTTAAAAGAATTCCCATGGAATTACTGTCTATCTTCAGCTACCTCGGGTAAAGCTTCGGAAACCAACTGACATTTGATCACTTTTATGGGGCGGTTACTCGATTGACCATATCTGATATGCAACTGATGATAATAGCGTCCCTCCATCTCGACGAATAATCAATCAGTGTACCTTCGTGACGTCCCACAGATTTTGTTGTACAACCTGATCTTGTACAACCACACTTTACTGCAGCTGTGACATGTGAAATGAACGTTAGTTTTTGCTTGTCTCGATACATTCAATGAAGAAGTAAAAAATAAGATGCAGAAATGTTCTGAAGTGAAAATGTTCGAACCAGCATTAGGCCAAATGCTCGCTGTTTAGTAGACTTGTCCTCAACGAGTGTATTGGCATTCACTGTTGGATTTTGAAGGCTGAAGTTTGGAGCAAATTGGGTGT